TGTCAATAACTCACACTGATGACGTACAAAGAAGTAAAACTGACTTCTTGTTTCTAAATATAGCCCTCAGTTTCCGGAATAAGGAAGAAACCTTCAGAGAGGGACATGTTAAGGTACAACTGTCCATGAAGGAGTTTTTGAATGTTCTCTAAAGCAGGTCCTCACAAAGTGCAGCCCCAGGAAAACACCTGCAAACCAGTCAAAAAAGTAGCAGGAAAAGCAGGGGATAACAACATGGAAGAGAGCATGAGAACAAGGAGGTCAGGGAGGAAATACTGTCTAGCATAAAAAGAAAAGGAATGTGAATTCCTGTGAGAGAAAGAAAGCCACAAATTCGTAAACAAAAAGCTAGTATTAGTCTGAGTTTAAACTGAACACAAAAGGATAAAGAGCTTTATATTATATCCACTGCCAAACCACTAGTCAACCAGTCTCTTGCTATAATTACTTGATAAACAGCAAATACTGCAACAACTTTATTTTTCTCTCCTTTTGTATCTTTGCTCAATGAAGAGCTGCCTTCAGCCATAACCTGGTGTACTGACACTGCCACAGCCAGGGAGGTGTTGTAATGCAGTGGCTTGAATGCACAGGTCAAGAATATATGAAATATAAACATCTTCAGAGGTATAGCTGCCGTTTCCCTTTGTCACTCCTAGAACATTCCTCATCTCCTCCTGTTTAGCATTGCTCTACTTAGGACAGCCACACAGACAGCTTTATGGTAAGAGATGGTGGTTCTTCAACAAGTGGATCCCAAATGGGACCTGTTAAACCAAGCCTAACTCGGATAAAAAGAATAACCACAATTATGCACTGGTGAAAAGAGCCAGTTTCAGATCCTCTTTGCACAGGATGGGTGTGTAGTGGTTGCAAAGAACAGGAAAATAGTTCTTTTAAGCAAACCATATTCATTAAGGTGGCAGCAATTTCCCTGCCCTCTCTGGAGAGAGTTATGTGTGGCAGAAACAATAACCCTCCATCCTAATGATCACGGGTTAAGTGCCTCTTGAAGTTCTGTGTTTTCACAACACATCTGTGGATGGCAATAGACTTAATCTAGAGAGGTTTGGCCCCCTGACAAATGGTCTCCACAGAGAGCAAACAGAATCAGGGCACTTAAATAACACCACAGTCACTAATGACATGATTATGGAAGGTGATAATGCAACAAGAATGACTCTCAGCAGCTTCCAGGAGTTACAACTGGTAGGAACTGAGACTGTTAGTTAGAAAAGAGGCACCCAACTCCTCCTTCACACTGCTGCTGTGATGCATCATCTTTTTAAATAGACCAAAAAAAACCACAAGACAACAGAGAAAAAAGCTATTTTAACATAAATAGCTTACTCTCAGCAGGCTGTGTGGTTCAAAGGACTTGTGGTAAATGAGTTTCAGAGCCACAAAAGCAGTTCTCAAGTCTGGTCACCTCATCCCCCTACACTGTACACCATGATGTCAACGAATTCAGAAAGGCAGAAGGAACAGTCTGTGTATGGCTGGCAAAAGGATCCTGTGCCAGTGCACAGCTCTTATAGGGAACCATAAATTACATTACATTACATTAAGGTTAGGGGGTTTTAAGCTGGAAATTTTCCACGAGGAAGTTTTGCACCAAGACACTGAGCCCAAAGCGTGATCTCACTGCAATTCTTTTTACTGCTGAGATTTTAGCACCCCCCAGCATAGTTATTCAGAATCAATGGCTAAAATGCCAGGTAACATCCATCTATGCATCAAAACTTGACAACTGAAACAATATGACCCATCATGCCCCACTTTATGCAATCCCACTTTCATATTCTTTCCTCCTCATCATTAAACTGAACTTCCACTTTATTTTCATTCTAGTGATTCTGTTTTCATGTTCTAAATACTCTCCCTCCTTGGTGTTCATGTCTGTTTGATATCAAATCACTGTTTAAACAGGGATCTTAGGACTGACACAGCACACAACAGAAACAGAGATGCTTTCATGCTTCCCCTCAGTTACTGTAAACTCATACAATTTCTTTTTTTAAAAAACAAACAAAAGCCTCCAGGCCACTACTAATTTGTGCTGCACTTCTCTCAACTCCCCCCAGTGTCCCTGTTTTGTTTTATGAGATTGCCTCCTGGGGAACATACTGAAGTTCAAAGCCAGGGAATGTTCCCACTGTAGCCCATGCAAGGATAGTTTATGGTTGGATTCAATCCTAAAGATCTTTTCCAAACTAAGTGATTCTATGATACATGCCAAGAGCAGGATGCCAATTTCTATCTATAAGTTTTGTATGGATTAAAGCATTTTAAAAGTGCAGTCTTGTGTGCTGGTCCCTAGGTCTTATCCCCAGATACCGTCCTAGGTCACTAATCCAACTTTCCTCAGGGAATCTGGGACATGGGGAGTAGTTGCTGCTGAGAACATCAGTTATTTTAATCCACTTCGCTCATACTGTTTCATGAAATCATAATTTAAACAGAAAGGGATCTCCCTCTTTCTCCCCAGCTCAGATGGGGAACTGTTATCACACATTTTGCCACTGAAAACAGAAGTTAGGCAGCCAAGGAGCTTTTTATTTTTACTCTCTCACTCTACTGTGACAGGGCTGAAAACAGTTTGCATCCAAAGTTCTCTGTGTTTCTGGGCTTCAGGTTAGAAACTACATGACAGATTATCCTGGAATCTGCACAGCTGATGCCTCACAGACAGGGATATTATCTGTGGAAAAGAAGTCATGCACGTCATCAGGGTTCTGCTCCGTGGGGTCCATTACCTCATTCCCACCCTTGCAGGGGCTGAGGCAGGAAGGAGGATGACGTTCTTCACTCCATTCCAGTTCTTGTACTCGAGAATGATAAAAACTCCCTGTGGAGCTTAACATCAGCCTTATTGTGAGAGTGCAAGGGTCTGGGAAAGGCAAGTTCAAGAGGAGTTAGGGAATGCACTGCAAAGAGTGCAATGGGAACGAGAATCTGAGGGAGAGTGTCCAAGAGACAATGCCTCTAAAAGAAGCAGTGAACATATAGAGGGAAGACTCTCAGCATAAATCAATGCTGTCACTGTCCTTTGGCTCATCTGACTTTAATTTCTGCCCTGAGATCTTACATCTACACTCTGGGTAAGAAGGCCTCCACCACGTCACAATCTGAACTGCTCAGACTCTCCTGGACTGCACAGAATTTGTCACAGCTTCACCTGCTTGTTCTCAAACACTGCTGACAACCAACAACAGAGAACAGCCACGAACAGAACAAGAGCACCACCAGAGCAGGAACCAAAATGACAAAGCTTTTTCTGAAACATCAGCTGGACAGTCACGGAGCAACAACACTCCAGCAGCCGTCCACGAAGCAAAGACTTCCCCCCCTCCTCCAAAGCGTGGCCACACTTTCCTCCAGAGACTGATCCTAAAGGAAAAACAAACAGACCCCGATTGCCTTGCAGCCCTCCTGGGTGGCCTGCTGTCCCAGACACGCTGAGCTGCACTGCTTGGGTCCTGCACAACAAAACACAGCTCCTTCTATTCCATCACTGAGGAAGTACTTGCCACTCTAAGTGTCAGGTTTGTACCTACACAATCGAGACAGGTTATTTTCAAAGCCACATCATTTCTAAAAGCAATACATTTAGTCCATCTTGGGTGTAAATCAGAGAAAGAAACCTGCAGGCTGATGCTCAGAGAACACTTCTAACTGCGAACTCGTTTATTAAATTGATTAATTAAACTGATTTAAGAGAGTGGGGGCAGCTCATCATATGTGCCATTTCAAACAGAAAAGGGAAACACTACTAGGAGAAAGTGTTACTCGGGAGATGGGTTTGCTTAACAGGAGTCAGACTTGGAGAAGTTGTATTTCATTAATTGTTTTCTGAGGATTGGATGGGAGTGTTCCCACAAACCTTCATATCCAAGACCAGGAGAAATTTAGTAGATGAGATATAAAATAAACCAACACAGCACAGAACATACAATGTCAGGGGACAGCACTGCAGCTTTTTAGGCAGTACCACAGAACTGGAGGCTAAACAGTGACCCTGGCTTTATTCTTTCTAAGCTGTGTCCAAAGTCAGAAGCTTCCTCTGATCCTTGTCCTTCTGTTGAAACCTTGCTGCAAACCAGGTGAACAAGCCAGTGCTAAGAAATGACAAACTTTTCAGTTTACTGAAAGGGAAAGCCACTGTCTTTTCTCCCAAACTCCTGCACCCTGCAGCTAATGCTTCATGAAGGGTTGGTTGTGAAGAAAAAAATATTTCATTATTTACTTTTAAAAGGTGGACTCTGCTTTTATTAAAGACTTGCTCCAGGGTGCATCTCATGTGGTGAAAACTGCTTTTGTCTTCTGCTCCAAGTAACAAACAATATTATTCTTAAGAAAGAAAAATCCCAGCACTATATCAAACCAGGACTATCCTGCACACCCAGCCATCTATCCCAGGATGGAATATTGTCTGCAGTTGCCTTCTTTGCAGAATCAAAGGCCTAATTCAACTGCACACCAACACTGGCCAGAGAACACAGCGATGGCCATGCAAGACCTGGACAAATGATTATCCCTGGGAAAATCACTCTGCAAAGAACTGAGAAAGTCTCAAGCAGTCAAAACTTGCTTTGTAAAATCAAGCTGAAAACTTCATTTAGTCAAGGCCACACAATGAAATATTTCTTTGCTTTTGCAGAAAAAGGAGCAAAATAAAACCTCACACAGCAGTGTACTGATGACAGAGGCCTATAGAAAAAAATATTAGAATGTAATTTCAAAAACTGATGCCAACTTGAAGCTGCTGTGCATACATACACTCTGTGTCTCACCATCAACAACCTCTGATGCAGTAAATATTTTGAGGGTTGTACACAAATTACATTATGGCAATGCAATATTGGGGACTGCAGTGCTAAAGAAATCTGAAGGAAGAGGATGGAAACACCCAGCAGATGTAAACATGCAAAAATCCACTGGCTGTAATATACATATTAATTACTTCTCAGATTAAAGTAAAAATGTACCTATTCCCTTACCTGGTAACCCTCAGTCTTCTTTTGGCACCATTTCAACAAAGCATTCCTCTTGGAACCCCCATATTCCCGAGCCAGGGCTGCCAGGGGGTCCTTTCTCTCCACACTAAACCAGGGAAGCATAAGGGAGAAGATGATAAATGTGCTTGAAATCTCTTTATTTTTCACCAGTGTGTTAATAATTCCTGTATGACAAAGCAGAATGGCAGCACAGAGCCCAAATGTAAACCAAACTGAAACAGCTTTTGGAGCTTGCATTCTGTACCTGCCTTCACATTTACCTGAGATAAATTCAGGGGGTGTCACTGCACACAAAGGGCTGAAAGAACACCAGCCTGTGGATATATTCGATGGTGTGTATCAACCCAGCATTTCTGCTGTTCTTTTCATCAGCTTCACTTACAAAATTTTCAAGTAACCTCTTTGTTTTACACACTAAAAACCAGGATTTAGGGTGCAGAATTGAAAGAAACTATCCAAAGGATGTGGAACAGCAAATTCACACCCAGTTGAGCTGCTGCAGAACAAGTTGTTGAATAAAATGAAAAATGAAGCTGTATTGCAGTTCAAGGCCCTGAGGACAGTTAAAGGCCAGCAACCAAAACACCCACCGTGTCTCCCCTCTACTGGTGGAACGAATGGTGGAGATCAGAGGAAAATACATCTGCTTTTTTCTCAAGAGAGAGGAAGATTATGTGTCCAATTTCCTTTAGCCCTCAGAGCTTTTGGTTTTTAACTCACCACAACACGCAAAGCTACAGTAGGATAATGAGGGCTGACCTCATTATCCTGTAGACAGGATGGAGTTCTTGCATGCAACTGAACGCTTATCATCCTCACTGCCATCATGACTGCTCATCTTACAGATAACTGTGGTTATTACAATCCCAATTTCGATATCTGGATCTCACACAGTCTGGAAATTCCAAACTGGACAGGCCAGCCAGCAGAGATTGCACTGGAGCTCACGGTCCTCCAGATGAAAACATTCCTCTCGGTGCCAGGTAATGCTGTCAGTCTTTCCAATGTGCTATTATTACTTTTTTTTTTTGTTCCCCAGGAAAACTGAGCTGTACCTGAGTTTGCTTTGGGGTTTCAAGCTGCTGGGGGTAGAGGTGAGCATCCTGCTGCTGAAGGCCATGGGGGGTTTGCTCAGGGATTCCAGGGAGGGGCTTTTTCGGAGGTAATGGTCTGGTTTCAGCTCTTCGGTTCTGCCCTTCAGAAGGTCTGTGGGAATGAAAAGGAAAAGCTGTCGGTTTGCAGCCCGAGGAATTTGATTAATCACTGTCCTGCCACCAGGCACACAATATGCAGTCTGTTGTTTTGATTCCAAACAAATGGACTCATTTGTTCATTAAACACACATGGGGCTGGGAAACCTTGAGCAGATTAGAGGTGATCACAACAAGGAATGGCTTTGATGATTTCAACAGTCCAGGCTGCCTGGTTTCCTGTGATTGATACTCCTGCTGGGGGGTAGGGGCCCCAGGTGAATGAAGGGAAATACCAAAATCTACAGTCTGAAAGGTTCAAAAGCTGAGCACCAGATATCTTCACCAGAGGACTGACCAGCCCTAGTACAGTAATTTCTTTTCTGCCATGAGCAGAACTGTAAAAAGAAAGCTCCTCATCTCCTGAACACAACCCAGCTCAAGGCAGCAGGAAAAGGCACTTTTTACCACATGATGCCTGGCATCCTCTCTGTCAGAACTTTGGGAAGTCTCACTATATTCATAGCAAGTGCACCCATATTTTTATTACACATATTATGCATTTTTATATCATGTAGTTAAGATATATATTTATATACGTGTACACACACACACATATAAATGTACACATTTTTATGTACATAAAAGAAAATCAACAAAATTAGTAGCCACAGAATCCAGCACTGATAGGGTTTTGAAGAGAAGCCAAAGAGATCACAGAAATCAAATCATTGCATATCAGTACATGAGGTGATGTAACAGGCCAGGACTATGACCTGCATATCATGTTATCAGAAATTAACTGAACGTGGAACACAACCTTTACTCCTCCTTTCTGGTTAACTCCCTATAATTATCAGTTAATGCCATATCACCTAGAGGTGTGAATTCCTTCTTAGCTTCAGCTTCCTTTGAGTTATTTCTGGGTGCTAGAAAGTCCAGGATGGAACCAGTGAACTCCTGACTCTAAATGGAAAGATCACAACCAGCTCTCTGGGTGAAGTAATCCATTCTCCTCTCCAGCTCTGCAACATTTGGGTCACGTTAAGGACATCACAGAACCCTGCTGTGATACTGGTCAGATGGAATCAGCCAGGAGATTATTATTATGGAGACTGCTTCGCTCTGAATTTCCTTGGGGATGATTTTTAGTTCAGTGTTGTTTGCACAGGGCTTGGATCAACTGCCTTCTAGGATTATTTAGATTGGAACCAGAGCTATTACAACTCTACAGTGAGTAAGCCCTTGCTATGGATTATTGGAACTAAATTAAACCCAGGTACAAAGAGAAGCTGTAAATACAGGAACTTGCCAGATAAGCAACCATCAATTTTTACCATGCAATGGCTAATAAAGTATCTGATGATTTCAAGAGATTTTCACAGAACTGTGAAAGGTGATAGAGGTCCAGAGGTAATAACAGAAATTATCCATGGCCTGAAGTGGGATATTTATTGTTAAGGACTGCCATGATATTACACAGTTGACAGATTACTTCACTCTACAGTGAACTGGTAGAGATTAAAAAAGTCTTATGTTCTGTTTGGCATCATTGTTTATTTTCATGAAAGACACTTTCTGGAAACCAACTGATCCAAGTAAGAAAACTCTGGCCATTCCATTAGACAAAAGAAGACATTTCTGCTTGCTTAGTATTTACTCCTGCAGCAGAACCCAAAAGCACGGACAAAATGTTACTTGTTTGTGCTGCCACCTACCCCATAACCTGTTTTGCTGTTCTCCTCCATCTTTTAGTGACAGAAGGGGAATCCTGGAAAAATATCTGAAGATCTAAAAATGAAGACAGGTTCTTATTTCTCCCCTGTGTTAGCAAACTGTTGCAGAAAAGCCAGTCTACCAATGAAGAAATTGCAATGGATATTTTTTGTCCCTCCCTGCAGTTTAACTACAGGAATATAATATTTCATCTGTCCTTAAAAATTCAAGAATCTGTTGTTAATAGTTTTGATTCCAATGCAGCAACTACATTCAGGACTAGATAATCAAAATAAAGGGCCCTAGAGAAAATGGGAAACAAACACTGGTAGAAAAGAATATTAAATGACAAGAGAACAAAAGCAAAGTGTGAAATAAAAACAAACTCATCTCTTGAGAACTCTCAAAACAAACTATTTCGAGCCCAAATATGACTGCTCCTAAAACACTCTCATTGGTATCTGAAATGTTTGATGTATTTCAAATGAAGCTCAATTTAAAAACAAATAAACCCTCAAAAGACAGTGCTCTGGCCTTGCTCCAGATACATACATGTTGAGCAAAATCCAACCCTCTCCAGTTCCACAGTGTGGATTAGAGAGGTGCCATGGGTACTCTGGAATAAGGAAGGCAAGTTTGTGTTGGCAGACCACAATAAATCAGCTATTTTTTAGTTATGATCAAGATGGGAATGGAAACACCACAAAATTAATAAGCTCTCTAAAACAAAGACACTGAAGACCCTTTTGCATGTTTTCTTTGACCATATGAGAAGAGGAAAAATATCCTGGCAGAGGCCAAGAGTTAATGAGAAGCTTTAGCTGATAAAAAGAGGCAACATCTGTACATTTACTCCAGCTTACCTGCAAGAGGAAGGTCTGACAGGTCTGCATGTCTGGCAATGCCCTTGCTGGCTGGCTTGGCATTGTTATATACAGAGTGTCTCTGTGAAACAAAGGTGCAAAAGATCATTAAAAAAAATACTTGCCATCATGCTTAAATAAGTGAGCAGAGAGAAGTTTCTGCTCTCTCAAGATCACAAAGCAGGTGGAGGGATACAGAAACCTTTCATCAGGGTATCAGCTGTACCTAGAGCTGCAGAAATAATTGTGAAAAACAAAAGCACAAAGGGACAGTATTTTTAGCTGGTAATATATTGGTTCCTGAACTATTTCCCACTTCCATTTGTACCACTTTTTCTCTTGTCAAACACAATCTACTGTCATAACCCAAAAGTAAGGATGCCTGTTCCTAATCCTAACTCTGTTCCCAGCACCCTGAATCACATGTTAGAAGGAAACTCACTATCCCCTTTCTCTCAGCTCATGTGGCAGCTACTTAGTTCAGTGTGATGCTCCTTGTAACTCCCCCTCAACAACTGAAACCCATTTTCTGGTCAAGGGTGATAAAAGTTCAGAATTGTGTCCCAAAGAGTTCACGTCCGTCCACCGAGACCTCTCAGCTGAGGTCAAGACAAACTCCCTTTGATCCTTTTTGTTAGTACTACAGCATTTGATGTTCCACAGCAAACAAACAGATGGGTTTCCCCTTCCCCCTGTCAGTGCTGAAACCAGGTCACGTTGGAGCAACACGGTGTCCACCTCTTTTAAAACTCTGAGGATGGGAAGGACTGTACCTGCATTGGGGACACAGCGGCTGCTGGGGCTGTCCTCACTGGAATTCCACTGAGAGGGCTCCTGGGGACCTTGTGAACTGTGATGTTTTGGCCAGTGCTACCTGCAAGGGAAAAGACACGGAGACATTTGGATTTCAAAGCCAACTATCTTGTCGGAACAGGGAACCACGGCGTGGTGCCAGCCCAGAGACAGCATTTATGTACCAGGCACTGACAGAAAACATCCACTCAGAAGCAGCTCCTGCTCACTGCTGGAATTTTTTTTTATTTTACTACAAAACAGAGTGTTCAAATACCTGAGCATCCCAAGTCAAATGACTTTATGAGTGACTTCACAGTGGCTGCAGACTCTGGGGGGGTGGGAGATGCTCTGCTAAGGCAGACTCCTTGCCAGCGGTTGGCTGCTTCCGACTCCAGGGATTCCACCTCCTCAGCTGTCAGCCTGCAAGGCAGAAACCACACCAAGGTCAGGGCCAACAGGAATTGCAAGCAGAGATTAAAGATCTTCACGGTGAGGCAAATCAAACAATGTGCATCGTTTACTGCAGTGCCCAGCACGTGGACCACTCACTGGAAAATTCCATGTCCTTCTCTTGCAGTGCCTGGCAAATGTGACATCACTGAGTCTAAGAAACTTTCCTGCACTGTTAATCATCTCATCCCCCTTCCAAATCCTCACTCAGGATGGAGGATTATCATAGAAAAAAAGCGGTTTGTTGAGTAATCATCGATAATTACCTGAAAATGGGCTTTCAATAGAGCACCAGGTGCCACCACACTGTGGTCCTCAGTTTATCATGAGGAAAGTCCCCAAAGAGAAAGATGATATTTTATACTGGTTTTAACTGGTGTGACCACTGCTGGAGTCACTGTTACCAGTTAAAATGCCACAACTGAAAATAAAATAAGTAACTGTACAGGGTTCAGATAAAAGGTATAAAATAGATTCTGAATAAAAACTTTGACTTATCAACAATGACATCTGCCGAGTAAGGAAACCTTCAATCACAACCCATAAGCAGTTACATGGGGAAGAGAACTGTTAAATGCTTCATCCTAGTAGACACAAGAATGCCAAAATGGCTGGAATGAAGAAGAAACTCAAAATACAAATAAGTTTTATATTTTAACAGGAAGGATAATTAAGTTACTCCACTGAAAATAAACTTGGAGGTCGAGATTAAGTGCTGGACTTACAGGAGCTCATCCAGGAAAAGTCCACAGTAAACACAATCACAGAGGGAAAGTGTTACTTTTACAGATCCAAATGACACTGCTCAGTGCTGACACTGTACTTACCTGGCAGCTCCCAGGTAAACCTGGAGTGCAATTACCTAGCTTTGGTTTAGGAAAGCTGCAAGCAAATAACAAAGTCTAGTCATGTAAAAAGAGATTATTTGTACTCTACTGTCCCCATCTCTCCCACCTGCTCAGAACCTGCACAGGAGCTGCAGATCTGCAGGCCCTGAGGTATCACCACATTGCTCTGTATTTATGTTACACACCAAGAGCTGCACAAACACAAACCCAGAAATGATGTCAAAGAAGGCTGGAGGGCTCCATCCATAAAGTGCCTACGGGGCTGAATAACTCCTGTGAGCTAAAAATAGAAGCCAGAGCCTTATTCTTTCCCTTTAGCCACCAGAGTCTATAAAATGCAAAGGGCTAAAGGGTGTCAATGAATAAGAGAATAAGAGTGACTCAAGTTTCTATTTCTGGCAGAGCTTAAGGAGGTGCTGTCTTTAAGCAGACATTGGCTATTTCTTTGCTAATTCATTCAAGCTCCTTGTGTGCCAGGGGAGCCTGCAGAGGCAGATGGCCAGAGAAAAAGCCATTTCAATTCCATTCTCCATTTAATCCAATAAGGAGGAAAGGCAGATTGGATAAGATTCACGGAGCTCTGAGGGAGCCAGTGTTTTGCTTCTAAGTTTTAGCCTTTATATTTTGTTCTGTTGCTTCATAAAGCATAGCCAACAAATCAGCAGGTGACAGCATCTGCACCTCAGTTACACAAGTCACAAAAGCTAAAGGAGTAAAGTATGGAAGGAGGATAAATTTCTGCCTCAAGATTCCAAACCACTCAATGCAATCTACTGCACTTTCAAGAATTACATAGGTCACTGTACAAGAGTTCTAATTATGCAGGTAAAAAGGGTATGCACATGGTTTGTGGAGCATTATGAGTAAGAAACAAATGGTAAATGCCTGTAGGCCAAGTGGCAAATCTCAAGAACAAAGCAAGGCAGAGGTATGCTCTAGGCAGCCACCACTTCACTGGTTAGGATTGAGCTCTGAGAACACCTCAGACACCACAGGACCAGCCTCCTCAGTCTAGCCTTTGACTGCAGAAGGATGCAAACATGTTAAATAAACTCAGAGTAACCACACCAGTCCCTGTGCTGTGCCACAGAAGAGTCCACTGAGAATTCATGTGCCATTATTCTGCCATTGTGGAGATCTGAGTGCTGGAGCTACAACCAGTTTCGATTTTGTCAGGATGCTTCCTGTAATCTTCAGTCTGTATATTTGTAATAGGCAGCCTGAAACAACCTCCTTGATTAAAGAGAAATCACAACAGAAAACCGAGGCCTCTGCAAACCTTGCAATCTGTAAACCTTGGCAGAGAGGGTAGGAAACAGTGCTGAGACCCATTTGCTTCAGCTAAAACCACACAAGCCAGCCAACAAGCAACAGGGAGTTATGAAACTTGGTGAGCACCTTTCCACTTTAAAAAGAAATGTGTATGGTAAGGGGATGCAGGTATGTGTACAGATATGGGTGTCTTAATAGAGAAGCAGAAGAGTAAGAGCTTAACTTGCAGTAGGAAGCTAATTCAGGGGGACAGCATAGGAGAACACAAATTAAAAGGATTAATGACGAGCCACGACTTCAAGCCCAAAATGAGTCCTCCTTATACACAGAATTTATTCAGCTTAGCAGAGCTTAGGCCATCCAAGAGGACTACACAAGCTCAGCTACAAAAGTGATGGATTTGAGCTAAATGTCATCTCCTGCTGTATGCTTTCCTTGAAACAAGAATGAATGGTTTACACAGACAAATGCTGCAAGTGCAGCTGGCTGAAGTGGAGCAGCTCCAGCAGGAAGCAGAGCACTGCAGCCACAAAGGAATTGAAACGTGCAGTCCCTTTCACAAAACCACTGCCGAGTTCCCTTCATTCACTGGTGAGAGAAGTAGATGCAGGGAGCTTTTCTTCATTACCAAGAGTCAGTCTCCCTGTTTTCTCGGTTTGAAATACATGGACAACTGACTAACAACAAGGTGAAGGTCTTTCTGTGATTAATGTACAGATTTTTGGCAAACTCAGCCTTCACGTGCCTGTGAAATTTCTGAAGTTTCTGCTCCTGTGACTTGCCTACAGGTGGCCAAGGACCACAGGACCACATTTGCAGAAATAATTACTCCACAGTCTAGTTTTTGCCACAGTTCCTGTCACTGTTGTGACTCCTCCTGAACTCCAAGGGACACAAGGTAGAGACATACAGCTACTGCTGCACAGAACAGAAGAGAGGCCGAGGGCAGGCAGCAGACAATTCCAGACACTTAAACATTTATTTGGCACTTCAATATATATTTCTTAAACATAAAACCCAACATTCAACAGCTGCCAGCACAGAAAAGAAAGGCAACAGAAGTGTGCATGTAGGCATACACTCCAGCAGCACAGCACAAAGGTGTAGGCCATGCCAAAGCCAGCACATCCCAGAGGATTCTCTGCTAGCTCAGCCTGCTCCAAGACCAGGCCCTTGCTAGGTCTTCACATCCAGAAGGAAAGGACAGAAATCCCACAGCCAAAACGTGAAATCCCAGTCCTGGAATGAATCCTGATAGTCTCCAGCTAGAGATGGTGACTTCTGAGCTTTTCCTTCGTGTCCAACAAAAGCTCTCTCCTGGTGTCTCCGGTTGCAAAGCTGAACTTCAAGTTCTCCTTGATCATCATATACTTCACCTGAGTTAAAGAGAACAACTCCCTTCTGAGAGGGTATTCACCAGGGGCTTGATATGTTCCGTTCTCTTCCTTCTGATCTCTCCATCTGCAGCTCTTACGGCCAGGGCAAACCTCCCACGGAACGTTCTCTGCGAAGGTTAGAGCAGGACACGCTCCTGGGGCACCACCCCTCCCTCACACAGCACCGGGTCAGACGTGCCACCCAGCGGCCAGTGCCTTGTCAACACGAGAGGAAAAATCTGAGACCATCAAAGCAGCTGATACCGAGCGAGTAACTCCACGTTTCTATTCAGTTTTCCTGCTGGATTTCAGTGACCCATCACCGAATTTGTGTGTGTGTACACATGATCTGTACTCATACATGTATTTAGGCACACAGAGACAGATCACAGGACATAATACTATCTGGAGAACTCGTGTGTATGCCCACTGAATTTTACAAATTAGGCACACACACTCAGCTTTATTCTTGCTTAAGCTTAAAATGGCACGTTCAAATGTCCGTTTCAAGGAAAACAGCTCCAAAAAAAAAAAAAGCTCTCAGTTATTTCAGATCCCCAAATCTCTGTGATTACTTCTTATGGCTTAGTTGGCTTTAGGCTCATTCAGAACTTCTTCTGCCTCATGGAGTCTTCTGGAGAGAGAGAAGCCTTCTGAAACAAAGAGAGAGGCTCTTGCCCATGGGGAAGAGGTGGACCTGAGCATTCACACTTTGCAATACACTTGACTTTTGCAGGGTAATAAAAAATAACAGAGGTGCTTTCTCGAATTGAAACTTCCCTTTTTCAGCTGAAGGCAAGTCCTGCAGTGTCTCACGGGCCTGGCTGTGCATCCCTTCAGGGCTGTGTTAGCTGGCAGAGATCAGGCACCTATGGGGAGACAGACAATGTTTGGGGAGGTTATAAACCAGTACAGTGCCCACCCTGAGGTCCAGCTCTCCATTTTACATCATCCCATCATCACTAAATAAAGGGAAGAGGAGGAAACACCCATGGTGTTGCTAGAACAGCTAAAGGAGTGTTTTATCACTCCATTAACTTGACTTTGGGAGATGATGAGCAACAGCAATACTAAATAAAAACCCCCAATCTATATTGGCCAGAAAGGAAGAAATAAATTATTTAAAGCCAGGCAATCAATTCTGAAGGACAGGGATGGCAGTGTTCCTGCCTTTCTCTCCTCTACTCAGTTAGGACTATTGTTCACAATGGGTACATGAACCCATCCCAGGCAACTGGAGCTGCTCTGCCTCAGCCACAGTTTGTGTTTCAGAAACGCTGAAGGGGATGGAATAATCTCATCCAGTGTTAAAAAAAAAACCACCAAGAACTCCTTAACAAACCCCCAAATCCCCCAGGAAACAACTCTGAGCCACTAACTAGAGCAAACCATCACACCTTCAAGGACCCTGCTCTGAAGTTCTCGTTACTCTGAGTGAGAGCAGAAGGAACTGTCAAACCTCTGTGAGACAGAACAGCTGCAAACACAGGCACAAATGAACAGCACATCAGCACATACAGACTGACAGCAGGGTTTAATACACAGAGCACAAGCTCATTTCCAGTAGAAAAGCAAGTGACACTGCCATGCTGTGGCATTTGAGACTTCAGGAAGAGAAACAGAAGCAAATTAGTGGGATACGTCACAATCCTCAGTTTAGGCTTCCGTTTGAAGAGCTGGTTAATTTTTTTATTAATCTAAGAAGTCACTCATTTAATTACAGATTTAATTTCTCTGTTTTCTAAGTACTACTCCCAGCCCAGCTGTCCTCCCTCCATGTTCTTGGTTCAAGACACGATGTTCTAGTGCAAAAATCAGTTTGAAAACTTGAAGGGAAAGAGTCAAAGCAAGACCTTGACACTTTTACTCAGGATCTTATCCTGTCTGGTCTTGAAAACCTCCAAGGATGGAGCCTATTTATCTTCAATTTCCACTACCTGTGAGAAGACAGTTACACAACAGTGGATTGTTTTACATTTTACTGCAGAGAAATAATATTAATTAGAATGTAAAGTATCAGAGAAGGCTGTCTGAAGCATGGGTTAAACAATTTTTAGGTTTGAATCAACACTAACTTGGGACAAGTTAACTCTTTTTTTCCTTATTTCATCTGGCTGATGCTGGTCCAACCTCCTCCCGCCCCCAACATTCTTAGTCATAGAATCAGACATTTAATCTGTGTTAGAGATGCCTTTGGGAGGCTCTTACCTTCATTCAGATGAACTTTGATGACCTCATCAGGATTTTTTCTGCAAGTTCTTTGGTTGTTCCTAAACCAAAAATGACTTTTTGTCTGATTAGAAGAATGTAACGGTGAAATCAAACTTGGAGGCAGGAACTCAGGCAGCCACAGGCAAACACTAAAATGGCAGGATGTCATAGGAGATAAATTGGCTTCAAGATGAATTTATGAGGTGGAGTCTAATGACCCTCAAGAGATGGCTGAGATTTTGCCAAAAATCTTTTGAGTTGCAAGCTCTTTGGAAGGTACATTTTCCAATGAGAGCTTAAAAATCAGACAGGAAACTTTCACTAGGGACTGTCAGATATTCAGCTGAGCGTGCAGCTGCTCAGCATTAGCAAACAGGAGGGATACTTTACAGACTGTGTGAAGGTATCATGCTACAAACTGCTTCCACCAGTGCTGAGCATGCACCAAAATCACCACAGGTACCAGAATCCACTGCTGATTCTGAGCGGTGGCATTTGAGGAGGCTGACTGAGAGCAGTGAGGATATCCCCAGACCTTCCTGGGTGACAGAAGCTGAGGTGCTGGGGAAGACAGTGACCTCAGGAATGCAGAAATATGTGGGAGTGTAGACCTGGCTCTCAGCAGGAGCTTTGGTGACTTCAGGAATTTGTTTCATAAGTCAGTAGAGTTTTAAAATTTCAGTGTTGATCATTGCCCTGTTTAGACAATGACTTACATAGGCTTCGTTTTGTTCTCCATACCACTCAGTACGGAAATTTTGCACACTCTGTGAGTGAAATCAGTTTTACTGACAGATGCAAAATTTGGTTTCATGACCTGGCTTTGAAAGGGAATGAATATTGCCCACTGCAGACAGCATATCCAGCTCCATGACCAATGCAATGCTCAAAGCAGGCTAAACAGAGAGTCCACATGACACAGAGACAGACAGACCTGTGTGTGTGTGACAGAGAGAGACACAAATGCCAAAATGGACATCATTAACTCCATGTCTGCATAGCTCCTTCTGGAACTACACATGTATGGATTCTGGGGTTCCAATTTAAAAAGCAGTATCTGAAGCTGAGGCTTCCAGTGCAGCCACATTCCTTAAAGATGGAAGATGAACATCCCAGTCTGCAAATCAGCAAGTCATCCTCTATTCATTTTAAGTACTATCAAATACATCTTCAGATTAAAAACTAAAAGAATACAGAGGGGAAACTATAAGAATATAGGAATATGACTCCCCACCCTCGTATAGGGACCCTGCTTTAAACAAGAGAAATTTCATTAGGAACAAATGAGGAATGGAAACAGAGCCCAGAACTTAAATACTGTCTGGTAATCATTTTGTCTGAATGCATAGTCTGTAACAGCTTTTTTTTTTTTTTTGCATCCACTTGGGACTCTGATAATGAAACTGGAGCTTAAATACATTCCTTTATTTTTCTGAAAAGAAGTGTTTCTCTTTCTTCAATCCAGGAATTCTGATCCATACAGCTCCACACAAAAGCTCTCCCATGTTTTTAGTCTCATCTGAACCTCCTGAATGGAAAACACTGAGCAAGTATGTGCAACATAAAGCTGGACTGTTACTCCACCTGAAAGAAATGACAGCATTCACTTTGTTCTTGTGGCCATAAATTTACCAGGAGAGAGATTAAATGGAAAAATCTAGAGGAGTACAACCCACTTGGCACACATTTCTGACACACGGTACAACTGCTTGTGTTACTTTGTCTTTCTTCATTGACTTCTCTCAGGTCTAGCAGCTCTCTTCTGGATGTTCCATGGAATATCTGTACCCAACCCATCCTTCCCCAGCTGCTTTAATTCAGCTGCACAGAGAGCTATGAAGGCAACAAAACACGGCACGGTACCAGACTGAGAACAAAACTATCAGAGGTTACTGGCAACTGTTAGTAATTAGTAATTAGTATTTGCTGATTAAAACCTTCACAGCCATGTTGACAGAACTAGGTTGTCAAACAGAAAGAGAACAGAAACATCTTAGAATTAAGAGACAACAAAATCTGCCAGAAGAGTTACAGACAACATGCACATCCAAGCCAGTGACTAATTACTGACAAAGCACTGTTTGCATGCGTGTTAGCACTCACAGAGATCACACCTCAGCCTCTGTAAATAACCAACCTGTTGCTGCCCTTCACTTCATCCAGCTCCTTCTGCAGCCTGGCACTCTTCTCCTCTTCCTCCTGCAGCTTCCTCTTTACCACACGGAGCTCCTGCTGAGCTTCACACTTAATGTCGTTGGCCACCACCACTGCAGTCTGCAGGTCAGCCTGGAAACGCCTCCACTCCTCTGCATCTTCCTACAAAGAGCAATGAGAACCCCAAACTGCTGTAAAAATGCACCCACCACCTGAACTGAGCACTTTAGTTACCGATCTCTCTTTCAGTCATCACAGGCAACCACAATGTCACCACAATTTCAAGATGGTGCTGAGGTCAAACTGAACACTTGGCTCTTTAGAGTACTGAAAATATTGCAAAGAAGCTGATTCTAAACCCTCCACTCCAATGGAAGTACAAAGAGAGGAGAATGGAGAAAGGATGTAGAAAGAAATCTCAGCACTTGTTCTAGGAAAACACAAAGCTTCTCTCGTATCTAGTACTGCAATAAAAGCTCAGCTTGGCTTTGTCCTGGAGCTTAAGCCTTACCTTCATTTGCTTAGTCAGAGCCTTCAGCTGCCTCTCTGTATCTTGTTTTTGCTCTTCCAGCTTCATTGCTTTACCTGGGAACAGTAAAAAGGGAAAAGAGTATTAAACACGTAAGGGGAACAGTGAAAGTGAAAATGGGAGGGCAGAGCAGTTGATTTTGCTTCTAGTAATGCCACTAAATAGACTAAACTGAGATTAATCACAGAATTAAGATACTGACTCAGCAGATCAATGGAATCAAAAGTAGATTTGTTACTCAAACGTCTCTGAAATATGTTGTTTTTTTCAGGTATTAAACTAGGCTCTGAAATTTAGAGAATCCCACGTGGATTCACTTACTCAGCACACACATATCCCCAAGCATTTGAGGGAACACTAAAACATGGAACGGGCCACTCGTTCCACCAGGTGGCAGCTCCTCGTCCACAACATGACAGCAACCTCGATTTTACTGCTCTTCCCTGTGTTTTTCCCTAAAAGCTCTTTAAAAGGCCAATAATTCCAATTTCTAGAGTGGGCAATACTTCCTTCACTGAAGAATAAGGCTTGGAGACTGTGTCTAATATTACATCTATAGCACTAACTGCTAAAATAGTACTTTTGTGCATGAACAGAAGGGAACAGCCAAAATTGGAATACTTGTAAAGGACATGCTTCCTCCTCCCTGTTGCAGCCATAACTGAGCCCCTGACTGAGTTAATTTACATCCTTTTTTTTGAGCTCCACCTACTTTCTAAGTCACTGATGAGCTGGTTATTGTGAAGTTTTATAGCACGGTGTTGTTCCACCTGGTCTTCCAACTCGAAGATGGTCTCCTTCAGGTTTTTTATATCTGCTTCATTCTCTGATGTTTTCTCCTGCAGCTTCTGGCTGGTTCTGCTCAGTTGCTCAGCCTGCCGGTCACACACCTCCTTCAGCTGACCACACTCGTTCTCAGCCTGGAAGGGAGGAAACAAAGCTGCAAGTCTGTCTTTATTCCTTCAGAGATATCACTCATTAGAGGCTTTACTGGGCATCTTATGGACTTGAGAACTGAACCTGTGTTCTAAGCACTGTGTGCATGGAACAGCCTCAGGAAGCACAGATGAGCTATGAATGTCAGTCTTCTCTCCTGGTAATGAAGACGATAAAGGGAGATGCTGCAAAGGAAATTAAATTTTCTGTATGATGACCGTAATTCCAAACCAATCTCTGAACTCAATGAACAGAGAGGAATTATATTCCTGGAAAGTTCCACAGCTATTTATGCATCACATTAAGAAAGTGATATCACTGCCTTAAGGCCAAGATGACAATCAGTTCATCCACATCAACAATTTGCTGCTTTTACCATGTGCATTTTCAATGGACTGTGAAAACGTCCACAGCAGAGCCAGCTACTGCAGATAAGTACATTTCTGGATATAGGACATCTGGAATTACTGAAGGGGGAATCTGCTGCACTTCATTTTGCTGGCTCAGGCCCACGGATCAATGCTTCCAGGTTTGGGGGGAGCTCTCTGAATATAAAAAAAGGTGCAGGCTGCCAATTCAGTGAGCAGCACTGGCACAGCCTGAGTGAAGGGCAGCCTTACAGAAGCCTGTGGTCTTGCCTGGGTGTCACAAGTAGCCAATGATTCAAAACAGCTTAATTCGAGGGAAAGGAAGAGTAAAAAGGAGGAAATCTGTGGTTTCCAAACCAAGCAATAAAAGTTTGGTCCAGAGTCTGAGCACTCAGCAGTTTTTCATTTATTCTTCATGAGCTGCAGCTCCAGAAAGCACTTGGGAGCTTCCTCTACTAACTCCATTTGCTGTGGTCACCTATTTAAGCTGAAAGGACATCTGGATTTTCTAAATCACTCCCATCATGGAGGTGCTTTTTGGCAATGCTCTCTCCCTCTGCAGCCAATTTTATCATTCTTCTCATGATCCCTTCCCCATACAGGAAGGACTGCACACACTATCACTCTTTCTGCAGCAGTGGGACACAATCACTGGCTTGTGCTTTATTAACACTTGTTGTTTGATGCCTCACATTGCAGCTCCCTTCTGAACATCCGGGATCACACAGAAAATAGGAACAATAACTGGGGTGAGTTTGTTTGGAGCAAAGCCACAAACTACTAATGAGGTAAACTGTGCTAAAATCAATCTTTTAACATTTTTTTTGCCACTGTTTTACCTATCCCAAAACCAGAGTATTTCTCAGGTTCGTAAAAGTATTTTAGCTTTATGAAAATAATCTCATCTGGAGCTTGATGCTGCAAAATTAGTCATATTGCTGTAACTATCAGCTTCTCTGAGCATTAACTCAGAAGTTAATTAACTCAGATCCTTGTGTTCTCATGATCAATGACACCTACAGTTCACTGCTAATTAATTATGATTAATTATTCAGAATTTAATATTCACTGCTAACTACTCATGCCCTTCTCTCCATCTGATTAGCAAGAGATTTACACTAACACTTGTTCACATCATATCAAAGTAAATTTTTGTTGACTTGTTCTTTGCTCCAGTTTTGATAAACACAACTCTACTTATTAAAAGAGTCAATTCTGCAGAAGATATTAGGACAGAATAGGTTTGAATTCATAAATACAGCTATGTTAACAGTTACTCCTGGGAAAATATGCACGGATCAGCAGCGACTGAGACAACACCACACGACCCCAGCTTCCATTCAAAACTAATTCATGTCATTTAAATCCTGGGAGTTTATAATCCATGGCTCGACAGCAATCTGAAGACCAATAACTACCTATTGATGCAAGGACAGAAACAATCACTCTGGCTTACAGCTGTTACTGCTTTACCTTAGACAGCAGCCCCTGAATGTGCTTTAGTTCACTGTTTGCCTTCAGCAGCTCTTGTTTCAGCTCAGTGCAAGAGGCTTCTAACTGAGCCTTTTCTGCGTGGGCTACTTTGAGCATCTCCTGCACCTCCGAGTTGTCAGGGGCACGGCCCATCACGTTGATTTCTGCAGCCTTCTGCTTCTCATTCTCCAGCTGGGTTTTGAGAGAGCCATTCTCGATTTTCAGACCCTCCAAGGCAATTTTACAGTCCTCCAGGCTTTTTGTCACTGCGCTGTTGCTCTGCTGTTCCACCTCTAGAAGTTTAAGCAGCTTCTCGTTTTCTTCTCTCAGGCTTTTAATCACCTGCTGGGCATCCTGATGCTCCCTCTCCAGGCTTCGCAGGCTGCTGGTTAACTGTTGCTGAATGTTGAGCAGTTTCTCTCTTTCAAACTGTGTTTTTTCAAGAACTTCTGCACATTTCTGTTCCAGTTCAAGCACCTTCCCCTCCTGAGCTCTGCTTTCTTCACTCTTGGATCGCTCTTGGAGGAGAGTCATCAGCTTCTCGTTCTCCTGGCTCAGCTGTTCCGCTCTATCCCTGTGCTGACGGAAGGAAGTCTCCAGGAGAGCTTTCTCTTCCACTAACTTCTCATTTTCTGTTGTCAGCTCCTGCACCATTTGCTGTTGATCTGACAGCTCCTGCAAAGTGGCTTGTAATTCCTCTGCCGTGCTGTGGTGATTCTCCTCCATTTTTTGTATTCTCTCCGTGAGAGACGCAACAGAGAGGTCGCTGATGTTGTTCGGAGAACTTCCTGCAGTGGAGCATTTGGAACCTTTGAAGTGGTTGCTGCTGGCAGATGTTGGCCTGGAAGGTACATCTGCTATGTGCTCAAAATCAGACGCATCAGGGGACAGGGAAGCTTTAGTGACATCGCTGCTGGAGGAACCAGAATTGCGCAGGGCACCCCCGTTCACGTGCGGCCTGTGCTCCTCCACTTCGCCTCTCGAGGCGTTTTTGGATGGGCTTCCAAAACTGGACTCCTGGGTGGTTGGGGTTGGGAGGCTGCTGTCACCTCCACTGCTTGTGGTCGTGTCTGACAGAGGGGAGTTCTCCAGATAGAGCAGTTTCTCTTTCAAGACACGGTTTTCTTCTCCCAGGCTGGCAAGCTCTTTTTGGAAAGTCCTGTTTTTCTCCTGCAGGGACCGTATCAATGGATCTATGTCAACAGGTGATACCGTTTCTAAATTTTGGCTGCAAGCACCCATTCCTTCAGCATTCAGGGACCCTTTCTCTTTGCATTTCTTCAACTCACAGCGAAGTTTGGTAATTTCAGAATCTTTTGTCTTCGCCTCTGCCAGGAGCTCTTTAACCTGAGATTCCAGAACAGCCTTGTCACCGGTTTCATTCTCTTGCTTGGACTTGCTGGTGGGGCGCACGTGTTTGGTAGGAGTCGGTGCACCAGAAGAGGTGGGGCTGGGTTGTGTTTTCCTGGCATTGGCTTGACCACGCAGCACAGCCCTCTCCCTGGACACAGAGGAGGAGATTTCCCGGGGTGCTGGGATCCCTGTGCGCTTCGCAGCCGAAACTGCGCCTTGGAGAACAAGAGATGAAGCAAAACTGAGTTGGTGCATAAAGAAAACAAGTCACACAGCAGCAATGCTAAAGCCTAGAGCAGTCCTGGAAAAAAAAACAACACCTGAGTGGTTGAATAGGTTTAGTCATGACTGTGTGGATTCATGTTTCAAAGGCTCCTATTATTCTGCATTTCTTCCTTTCCTGCCCCCTGCAAAGGAACACAGCCTGCTTAACTTTTACCCAGTGTAATAATATAACACAGAGATGCTGCAATCCATGAACTGCACTCCCCAATATCAGGATATTAATTACTTGATAGTAAAGATTCTTTACAGTACTTCGTGAAATGCTTAATCTAATCCTACTAATTTCTGTGGAAAATTTCAGTAATTTAAGGAAAGGTCTTCTATTTGAAAAAAAAAGTATTTTTATCACACATAAAACTATTTGCATTTAGGCAGATCATAATACAAAACAGGGCTGAAACATTTATGCTGACCACAGGCTCAGTGAAATATAAAACCCTCTATGGCACTTCCAACACTAAGACAACTGTGATGCTGCAGCTTCTTACAGAGATGGAAGAGATACTTTTCATGTCATACATTCCCATCCTCTTACAGAGGAAGAGCAAAAGGAGGTTAGAGAGCTGACACTGTTCTGTTTAGTTGTTGGTTGGGGTTCTCCTTCCCACCAACCAACAATGCAAAGCACTGTGTGATTACATGGGAAGTGAAGTTTATGAGTTGCTGATCTTCATCTTTCAAAGCTCTCCTGAAATGTGGGACCAGGGGCACTGAAGAAATAGGAGCCATCTGAGCCATGGGTGTTGTAACAAGTTGGTTAAAGAAAAGAAGCTGGTTCAAAGGGAAAGTATTATATGCCACTGCAAGTGGCAACACTGTGAATTTAAGAAAACCCAGTTTTCAGTACCTTATTCAAAAGGCAAAGCCCTAAAGTACAGGGCCATAAAGTTTGGGGATATGGTACAGTGAAGAGATGTTGTCTAATGTAGCCAAACAGGATGCAAGGGAGAGTTCTGCAAACAGAAGGGGTTAGTGAGCCAGTGTTTGCAATAAAAATAAGTTCAGAAGGACTCTGGGGGGAAATCCTAGAATCAATTCCATCTCTCCAGATTTGGGAGGGTCTTTGCCTGGTGCACATGTGCACCATCCACAGAAAATCAAAGGCCATTAAGACCAGAGGGGGAGCAGCCTCCCTGCCTTCCACAGCACCTTCACACAGCATTCTCCTCGCTGCAGCGATGCAGGGCACGGAAGGGTTAATATTAACACCACCCCGTTTGCTCAGCATCTCTTTTGAAGAATGCACTGGGTTTATAAAGCCCACACAAACAGGAGCCCCTCCTCCTCCCTCCCAAACACACACACTCTGCAGCAGCACAATAAACACCCGGAGACAAAGAGCAGCTGAAGAAAAGCCCCCTGAACCCAGCTCAGCGCTGGCAGGAGAGCACAGAGAGGCTCTGTCAGGGCAGGGGCACGATAAGGCCAGAGACAAAGGCTCCAGTGTTTAGGGAAGAGATACAGGGACAGCCAGCGGCCCACACAGCTTCATTTACTCATCTACAGCTGGAGGGGCCGGCTCAGCTCCGGGATGGGGGTTCTCCAGCTCCAGTGGCTGCTGGGGCAACTCCAGACCTTGTGTTACTTGTCAGAGCTGGAGATGCCCCCCCCCCAGCTCACCACTCATCCCATTCCCAAACCCCACTGCCAGGATCTGGCACCTGTAAACTGTATTCAACCCGAGCTCAGCACACAGCAAGGCTCGTGGTGTCGGTGCAGCAAACGCTGCGAGATGAAGGACAAGGGGAAAACTGAAAGGACCCTGATGGGATGTGTCGCTTCCAGGGGAGAAATCCCAGCTCAGCACAGCTCCTTCCCGCTGACAGGCTCAGGGGAGCCCCAGCTGTCAGAGCATCTGAGTGCACCTTGACCACAGGTTTGGACGAGTGTCCAGTGTAGAGCTCCAGTACTCACACAAGCTGTAGTCATACTACAGATTTAATATGTAAAATACACGTTATAAGTGGCCACAGATGTTCTCTGACAGAGCCTAAGGGGTGATTTAAAGCATTCTGTATGTGTCCTGTACTTCTATTCAACCTGAGAGGGTTTTCTACTGTTATTAAAAAAAAAAATAAAATGAAGACAAAACAAGTGCTTCAAAGAACTCTTCTTTTTTCAATGCTCAAACCAGTGCAATAACATGGCTCTCATCTGGCCAGCACATGACTGACTAGTATCATATAAGAATGGACAGTGCTGACTGGGCAGCATCCTATACATTACAAGAAATAATGATGCTATTATACACTGGTGTGAGTTTCATGGCACTGGGAAAACCCCTTTTTCCTAAGAGAAATGAAGCACTTCTGGTAGCCACACCAGCGTGCTTCTAATCACCACCAGATGACAACTGCAACATGATCCTGGGCAATGGAAAACACATACATAGGGATAACAATTAATGATATTTAGCTGGGATTATCTGTACTTTACCAGTTTGCCAACCAACTCTGAGCTTACTCAACGTGTCTCATGTGTTTTGCAAGACTCCACGCTCTGCTGACTTGTTCTGTCATAAATCACAAAGCATTTGCTATCCATCAATAACCATTAACCAAGCTGTTTTTTTCATGCCATAGAAGGGCTCAGGTATTTTCCTCACTCCACTCTCCACAAGTGCCATGCAATACTAAAAAGTCACAAGGATCCCGGAAAAGAAATAGTTCTAAATGCGTGTGTTGATCACAAAACACCAAATTAGGGATAAACACCACTTTAATGTCTATTTTACAGGCAACTGCTGCTCTGACTGACCTTGGAGTTGAGCAGTGCAGCAGTCAGCAATGAAGCTGCCAATCCCACAGCCCGGGGCATCCATATGCAGGAACTGCATTTAGGGCTGTGCAAGTCACCCTGGTGACCCCATTAACTCGGCCCCCACCCCGGTGATGGTCTGTGGGAGACCCCAGACAGACATACCAGTGCCTACCAGGCTGCAGAGCTCAACACAGCCTTGATTTATGCTGCTGCTGCTGCTTGAAGTGGCTGGAACCACACAGAACTTCACTGCCTGGAAAGTGCTGCTGGTTTTGAGCAGGGAAGAGAAAAAAAAAAACCAAAACCAAAAAGCCAAAAACCAAACCATTGAATACCTTTCTGTTTGGTCAAAATGGTGCTTTGGCACCTCAATCCTGTTTATGTTGTTCATCCACCCTGCCCAAGCTTTCTGCTTAATTCTGTTCTTGCCAACTTTGAGCACAACCTCTGTCCCACAGTTCCAGGTATCCAAGCTCATGCTACCTCCAACCATCAGTGTATTTCTCATTCCCTCTGCACCACACCAAACCTCCCGTGCTCCCAGTGCCACCACCACTCTGCTGATGGGCTCAGTTTGTGCTCCCCCACTTCAGAGGAACTGGGAAGTACTCCTGAATTACTCCACGGAGAGTTATTGCCTGAAAAGCTGTTTTGTTCAGGCTGAGGTCACCTCATCACCACGTTCCTCACCTTGGCACCCAGGAAGAACTGCTCCATTTTCAGCATCAGCCAGACTACTCAGGTGTGAGGCATTACAGTGCAACACATACATACAGCTTGTAATTTTCCAAGTGCTTTAAAATTAACAGCTATTTAACTCAAATCCTCTGAAACACATAATTAAGTTTAGGCTACAGGACAGGGAAGCAGAGAGAAGTGAAATGCCTCACCCAAGGTCATGGGAAGCCAGGATTAGGATTGGGAGCCCATGGCCACTTGCTGCCAGGGAGCACTGCCTGACTTTCCACCGGTGTCAAAAGCCAGAGTATTACTTTAATGAGATAAAAGTTGAGCCCTCCTGACGACCTTTCACCATTTTAATCCCATTTTCAGCATGGCTACAAACGTTTTTCACAGAAGGAAGGATCGGGATTACTCCTCAGTTTTTCCACATTATGATCTATTTTTGTGCTGAGCTCTCCCCGCACCTCCTGCGTCAGCTCCCCCAGGAACATCCACAACCAGGAGAAATGGACTCTGGAATGGAGGAAAACACTTCCCAATCCTCCAAGGTGGAACACACAGGATTGTTGCTCAGTAACATCCATGCAGTACAGCCAGTGCAGTTACAGTGAGAGCAGGAGACAAACGTTTTACCAGTCACAGGGGGGACACGGTGGAATGAAGATTCAATGTTTATCTGCCTTTACATCCCATGGACTCTGACAGCACCTATCACTGCAGTACAACACCAGCCCTGAAGTTAATAGAATTAAGAGTCAAATAAACTAAACAGTTCAAAAGTACCTGCTTCTCCAGGCCCAGAGCAGAGGAGTAATCTCAGTTGGAAGACTACATTTGACTGCAGAAACACCTTGGAAAGTGTTCTGATTTCTACTTCCAATCTGTTTCTTTAGAACTGGAGTCAATACAAAACTATTTGCCTCTGGCCTTTGTGCCATTTGTGTCCCACAGCCTGCCCTTTTCTTAATCCTTCCTTCCATCAACATATTAATAACCCAAAGGTTAATGCCATGGGCTTCTGCTGTTCCACAGACCGAATTAACAGGGAATGTTCCATTTTAAATGTTCTTCCTCAATTTTAATCCTGTCAACTCTGAAGAACAATAAAAGAACAACTCAAAGAACAATAAAAACACATTTTCTTCCTCAACATGTTTAAAATTCCGGGTTAGTAATTCACTGTTCCATAGTTTAGGTACTAGCCCTCCTGTGTGTAGAGCCCATCTATGTAATTTTAGCACTGATCACCAAGTCATCTCAGAAAGCATTTCAGTCATGTAAGACTAAAGCATGGAGACAGATGCAGCTTTGGTGTGATGTTTTTCAACAATGGATACCTTATTTGAATTGCAAGGGCAGGATAACAAGAAATAAAAGAAAGCTGTTCACAGCACTCTGCAGTGTTCAAGTCATACATCTCAGAAAGGCAAAATGTTGCCTGCAGACAAGTTTGTCCTCTCGTGATGATCTGCTGCTCCAGCAGGGC